AATCCTTACTGGTGGTGACTCCTTCTTGTCTACTTAGCTCTTAAGAGTTGATCAGTTATTTGATTTCTGTTTTTGCCTCCTTTGTACGAATAACCACAACTTCTTAAAGCTGCAGATTTAGTGACGAGCTTCATGACCTGAGGTCCAAAATTTCCATGTTCTGATGTGTGAGCCACTTTTACCTTAATGAAACCAACAAATCTTCTCTGGCTTGTGGAAATAACTTTCTTTAGGAAATGTTTTTCCATTTACTCAATGTTTGCTGGGGATCAGCTGCCAATGTTGTGTAGGCTCTGTACTGGTGAGGATCCTTGAAGCTGCTGTTGGACTTCCTCAGTCTTTTTTATTGCAGCTAATCCTTTCTGCTTGAACTTACAGAAGATGCAGACAACTATTTGTTTGCCCGTAATATTTTAAGCAGCATTTTCCTGCATATCTACATCCCACTTATGTCCCTCTTTTTGTAGCAATCACTCTACTAATTAGGTTTAAATCCTGTGAATTCAGTTACACTGTCAACTACTAACGTTGAATTTGCTCATCGTTCAACCCAAAAATACAGCAAAACTGACTGCAGTGCATTTTAGAGTTAAATGCCATAACACTTCTATCACCATCCATCTCTGCAGGACAGTGTATATACGGCCAGTAGAAGCACAAAGATCCCAGTGCGGTGGACGGCTCCTGAGGCCGCACTGCACCAACGCTTCTCGGTGAAATCGGACGTCTGGTCGTTTGGTGTGCTGCTTTACGAGATGATGTCACGGGGCAAAATGCCTTATGAAGGTGCAGTAGTCATTCTCTCCCCCTTCCTTTCATTTGTATAAAAAGCATTTTATTCTTCAAAGGCAAGGCCTGAAGTTAGTACACTTGATGAAATTACACAACAATCTTACAAACCAATACATAAAGAAGAAAATTAATCTTTCTTTTGAAATTTTTTATTTTTTTTTTAATAAAATCTCCATTTTGATCAGAGATTGCTTTTAGCATCTCTTATTCAACACTTTGTTCTTTCATTGCAACAGCAGCAGGTCTTTTGGGATTTGTCTTTATGTATTGATGCAAAACATTCTACCGAGTGAGACTTGATGGAGAGCATCTATGAACCTTCATTGTCTGCCAAGCATTCACAATTGGGCTTAGATATGGACTGAGGCAGTTATAAATTATGATAAAGCTTTGATATGAACTATTTCAATATATCACTGGTTGTAGTTTTTGAGCACAGCTGTCCTGCAACTTTTATATATATTTCTAAATCACAGGACTGAATGAGCAGGACTAAATCAAACTATTGTGCATGAGAATTAGTCAATTGAAACAAGTATTTTTGATTTGGAACTCAAGCAATAGCTGCAGGACAGTTTTCAAACCCGTTTGGGTAAACGACCGACAGGATAAATCCCCACAGGATCATACTGCCCCTGATGTGTTTCATCGTGGGGACGATGGGTTTAAGGGGTTGTGCAGTGTTTGTTTTCCCCCCTCATATATTTTTGATGTAGACCCTAAAATTCGGTTTTGTTTCATCTCACCAGAGCATTTTCTGCCACGTCTCCTCGTCTCCTACCCTGTTTTTCAACCCTGCTCCTTAAAGTCCACTACCAATTAGGTTTTAGATGCTTCTCTGCTGTAAAACACCAGATTCAGATGATTATCATATATCCTTTTTACGAGTTACTGGATTACAGAAATCTGAAATGTATAAATATTTTTTTTTTATTTTTAGGACTAATTAACCCACATTTTCCTTGACCCTGCACTAGTTAATAATAATAATAATTCATTTAATTTATACTGCACTTTTCACCAAAAAGGCCTCAAAGTGCTACAAAAAAGGCATTTAAAAAACATTAAAAAAGAAATACATAGAGATAAAAGAAATAAAATAAGATAAAATAATAAAAGTTGTTTTAAAAGACAAAAAGAAACATCTAAGGGGGACGAAAAATTTTTTGCTAAAAAGAAATGTTTTAAGTCCTTTTTTAAAACACTCAGTGGACTGAGGTGCCCTCAAGGTGTCAGGGAGGGAATTCCACAGATGTGGGGCAGCAGCACAAAATGCTCTATCTCCCATTGTCCTGAGTCTGGTTCTGGGAATGTGGAGCAGGTTTGAGTGAGTGGAGCGAAGGGAGCGGGACGTGTTCTTTGTGGTAGGGGGGGGCATGTCCATGGATGCATTGATGTGTGAGGAGGGAGACCTTGTATTCTATCCTGGTGGGGACGGGAAGCCAGTGTAGTGAATGGAGAACGGGGGTAATGTGCTCATGTTTCCGCACTCTCATCAGGATCCTAGCTGTAGAGTTTTGAACGTACTGAAGCCTCTGCAGACTCTTTTTAGGAATCCCAATGAGAAGTGCGTTGCAATAGTCCAGTCTGGAGGAGACAAAGGCACGGACCAGCTTCTCAGCGTCTGGGAGGGAGAGAATGGGACAGAGTTTGGAGATGTTACGGAGGTGGTAGAAAGAAGTCTTGCATAATGCATAATTGATTTATGTGGGCTTCAAAAGTGAGTTGTACCAGAAAAAGTGATGCTGGCTATGGTTAATGATTTAGTTTGATGAGGAGTTCCAACCAGGATGGCTTTGGTTTTAGAGATGTTAAGTTGAAGAAAGTTTTTCTCCATCCATACCTTTATCTCCCCCAGACAGGTGGTGAGTTTTGATGGGGATGACAGTGAGGGTGGGGGGTCAGCTGTGACATTTACATAGAGCTGTATGTCACAGCATAGCAATGAGATATTGTGGCGGCGGATGATTCGGATTAGTTCTATGATCTTTAAAATTAATTAATCGTTAATATGATATATCATGTAAGTAGCATAGTATATATTTAACTTCAATACAGAATATGAGAAAACTGTTTTAATTCAAGCTATTATTGACTTAAAAAAGAATGGGGGGGAAAAAAAACCAATATAGTTCAATAATGTGATTTATATATACAATATTTAGAGGATGAGTTTTTTATACGGCACACACCTGACCAGGAAAAAGTGTAACTTTGATCTGGATCAATCTCCTCACTAGTCTAGCCTAGTCCATATGCAGACTGGGTTAAATGACGTGTGTCTTTATTTGGGCTTCAGTCTTACTGGCAATGCCTTCACAATAGAACTTTACTTCAAATCATCTGAGCCATCGATTTAGGAATAAATGTTTTGATCAGCCTCAACTGAGATCTTTTTTCTACAAGGGAAAAAATTGTTTCTTTCTGTTTTTATAAGTGCTACTATAGAATACTACAGAACTTAAAGAATTTAACTAGAAGAAAATTTCCAGCTTTAACTATGGGTGAGTGAAGGTAAAAACGAGGGTAAATCTGATCTCTAAATCTAATGAGCACAAGTTCCGAGAAGCTTCACATTCTAAAGTGTTAAAATAGCTCAGTTGAGAAGTGACAAATGCTTGGACCAGTTTTTCTGCATCACTGTGAGGCGTCGCCCACAGTCATTTAAGCAACTTTATGCAACAACTTGCTTGGTGTGTTTGTGTGACTAATCCTTTTCCATAAGAGGAGAGGATTTCTAATAATAATGCAGATGCTGTATGTTTATTTATATCTATTTCCTTTCCTGTCTGTTTGCCTTTAGGTAAAAGCAATAAGGAGGTGCTGGAAATTTTAACATCAGGGCATCGGTTGGGACAACCCAACCGCTGTCCACAGAATATTTACCGGATCATGTTAGACTGCTGGCATTCTGAGCCATCCAAAAGACCCTCGTTCCACGCTCTGCAGAGCCAGCTAGACTCCATATATGAACGGATTTATTACAAGACCGTAGAGGTGTAGAAGGAGACGGGGCCTGGCTGGAGAACTATGATCTTCCTCTGCTAAATGCAAGCCCAGAAAAAGGAAACAAATCTAAGGAATAAGGAAACAATAATGAATGCTGCTGCTCTTACTGTGTGGTATCTTAAAAAGGTTTGGAAAAAGACCGGTTTGTCAAAGGAAGATGAGGACCAAGAAGAACAACAAAAGCTGCCCAACATGGATGGAATGATGGAGACAGAAAGGAAGATAAACTTGGAAGGAAACTGAAGGTATATCAGAGGCTGAGTAAAAGAAGCTGAAGAGAGGAGTCTTTAAATAAACTCATGTCTAAAAATAAAACTGAAGACTCGAGCCGCTCCTGGACCTGTTTTTAAATTCTACACTTTTATAGATTATAACTGAAAATGTCTTTATGTGCCATGTTGGAAATGTTACAGGCTTATAAGCCAGGGGGGTTAAGTTACCGATTCACTTCTGTTTTGGTCGCAAAACGTAGTGAATTTTGAGATTTGGTGCAATATATGAATGAAAGCTGGATGTTAAGACACATGTAGCTGATAAGTTTAATTAGTTTTTCACTTAAACACTTTTCCCTCTAGTGCTGAATATCTGGAAGAAAAGGTTGGATGATAGTTTGGTTCAGAAGTACCTTTTTAAACTTCTTAAAAGAACAGATTCTGTTGTAATGTGGTGCCTCCAAAGGATGTTGCCTCTCATTAAATCAGACAGGATAACTGAATTTTACATCAGTGTCAAGAGTTGTTTTATATTAAGAGAGAGGAAAGTCTTTGCAGGAATAAACTTTAAAGCAAATCACTATTCTTCCTCTGTCAAGAGAATGCATTCTGGGTAATCAGTCAATATTTTGAGATTGACTGACAAGCTAATAGGGTTTTAAATGTGCGCTTATTCGTTTTCAAGCTCACAGTATATACAATAGGGTTCACATTTTTTAAGGAAGCTCAACTTTACATATATAAATTTATCTTAGACCTGAAAACCCATCCAAGAATAACATTCTCCTCTTTTGGCTCTCATGTTGAATATCAAATATGGCTGCCAATTGTACACAACTTCACCACCGCTACTGTTGTATCAGCTAATGTTTACATCTAGGGCCAAAAGAAGATAATCATCTTTACAGGGTTATTTAATATGAAAATAGATCAACTTCAATATGGGATTCATGCAAGTCCTACAACTTTTTCACAATATGAAAATATTTTCTTATTATTCATCAAGACCTACCTAAATTTAAACGTCTATAGGTTGTTTTCAATCAAACCAAGTGAGATTCAGTAAAGAATCCCACTGTGAGTCCAGGCCCAATTACAATCCATCCAGTCTGAATAAAATCCATATTTTCACTTCTCTGTAGCTCATAAAATGGCAATAAGGGAGAACTCTATAGTTTCATGGTTGGGGAATACAGCTCTTTTCAAATTTAAATCTGAAATCTGATTTAAAAGAGCGATCTTAGTTTAATCCAACGTATAACATTATAGAAAATAGCATTATAATCAAGACAAAGTGTTCTCTACTAGTAAATTCAAGTATTCTAAGCTACGAATAGTCTGTTAAGAAAATGTATGATATTATGATATAAATGTATCATATTTTTCAAGAAACTTTATCATTTAAAAAAAAATATTTTCAAGTTTGAAGCACACAAAGAGCCGTATATGCCCTGCCTGACATTTTATGAGCTACCGGGCTAATGGGTATGCATTCTTTATACCTGTCATTAGAGGAGACTATTATATCATAATCATTAAACCCTTTCTTCTTCTCGCTTTTTGCAGAAGGTGAATGATGGTACTGAAAACTTTACTTTGACTGTCAGCCTAGCTTGGCATAATAATTTGGAGCAAAAAGAAGCAGCAAACATAACGCCGTCTAATGTTAGAAACCCTTCTTCCAAGGCATGCAGAGCTCACGCTTGGTGTTTCTAGTGTCATTTGGGTTACCTCCTTTGATTTTCTGCTTGTTGGCTTGCAAAACCTTTGTAGCAGTAATATCTGATAACTGTTGCAGCCTTGATTGGTTGTTTTTCTACAACACTATGCTAAACTGGGCCCAGATCAAGTGACCCATGTCTTCCATGTGGTACTAGGATTATTATTTAATTCCTGCTAAATATGCACATAATGTTTACTGTTACTAAATTATTGCTTATAAGCTAATGAGCATGATGGCTTGCCAGCATCTTAATGTGTTCTATGTTAGCATGGTAATTCATCATATATGTGTTATTTTTGGTACATGTATTGCTGCCCCTTAACACAATTCGTTAACCTGTTACACTCTGACCCTAAAGCCCATTTGATGGTAAACTAACGGACTGAAATATCTACTGTTCAGCTAAATGACTTATGTTCCAGTCCTGCTTTCAGTACAGACTTAAAATGTTTTTATTTTATTTTAATTTGTCCACTTCTTTGAGTTTCCTGGCTTCATGTGGATCCATTTTGTCTTGTCGCCAGAGGGTCTTTTAAACAGTTTACCCTTTTTCACAGGGTTGTACTGTATGGCGGTTTGGCTTCATGTCACATATCTGAAACATCTTAAAAAGAGCATTTTTAAAATGCTTTTTTTGTCAACACAAGATGCATTAAATGGTAAGTAAACCAGCGCTTGAAAAGCCACCGGAGCACAGTGCCATATAACCAGGCCTTAAGCTCTTTTAATGGGCCACACTGATGTCCAGTTACAACTACAGTGCCTATGTTTACAGTACAGACTGTACGCAGTTAACCAATGATATACGAACTACGCAAAGGATAGGATGGACCTTTGGACAAGAAAGACTAGCATGGCGGCACAGAAACGTTGTGTTGGGTTATCTTCATTTGAAGCACATGAAACTGTAATGTTGCAACTTGCAATGCAATTTGTGAATTAACCAATTTTGGTGTTTTTATGCATGAAATTTGCAGCAGATGAAGCCAAGTTCAGGAAACTTGAGCCATAATCACCAAATTATGAGTCAATGTTTGTATTTATGGCTGTTTGTGTTCAGGTACCAAATACAAATGATGCGAAAAAATAAAGTATTTTAAGTATTATTTTGCTTTTCAGTAGTTTTGTCCAATTTTTTTTTTCACTTTTAGAGAAAAAATCTGACCTGAAACAACAGAAAATAAAAATGTGCGACAGTTTTATTCTATATATTTAGATACGAAGGCTTGATTCTGTATCTTCTATGTTCAAATTAACAATGTTAAATCTTTGAATAACTGAGAATCATTTGAATCATTTACAGGTAGTAACGTGACATGAAAAGATGTTTTCTGAATTTATTTTCTACATTTTTGAGCTGCAATTTTGATATGTTTTCTAATAAGACTTCTTGATAACATAAAAAATGACGAAGTAAAGTAGTACAATATGCAGGGTGGAGCTTACCTACCTGTCCTGTATTATAACTGTGTATTGTTACACAATAATAAAAGTGAGGGGAGGAAATGCAGAGAAGGTCCAAGGGTCGGGACTTGAACTTACAATCGGGGCATTGAAGACTGAGGCCTCTCTCTGTAGGTTGTACTATTTCCACCCCACAACCTGGTGTTTATATTTATTTACATTACGTAACGGTTTAGGCAACAACACTGCAATAATTACCAGTTATCATCAAGAAGCTTTTAGGAATACAACAAATTGGTATCATTAACCAAAAATATGAGGAAAAAATAAACTGATGTCCAGAAAAGTCTTTGCTGTACTCAAGGTTGTAACTTTGTAATGAAAGTTGTTGGGGGCGCTCTAAGGGTGGAGGCTGATGGACCTACAGTTACTCGACCCGAAAGCTTTAATTAGGTTTTTGTATTTTCCAAAAATGAGCTCAAACATATATGTGAATGCTTTCCTATTGTTGAGAACACAAGAGAACACTGCAATTTATATTTATAACTAGTTAGAGAGATGACTTTTGGTGCATTATATATATATATATATATATATATATATATATATATATATATATATATATATAGAGGGCCCAAAAACCCTAATGTATAAAAAATAATAATAAAATAACAGCCGATTACGATGCCAAAATCGATATATCGTGCATCCCTAGAAGTACAATTTAATTTCCATCCATCAATCCAGAAAAATATGGATATGCTGCATTTTTTAATATAGCATAGCATATTTTTTTCTTGTAGACTTTCTAGTAATGAGATTTTAATGCATTGTTGCATATCCCAGTAAATCTGTTTCACCTTTAAATCTGCAGCTCTCCCTACTTCTCTCTGTGCTCTGTCTAAAAACATTTATGAACCTCTTTACTAATAAATTTGAAGATATGTAGAAGCTCTGCAGTCTGATTCTGTCTGCACAATAAGAAAGCCTGTTAATTTCAACCTTTAACTGGGAGTCATGGTGCTCTGAGAAGACAAGCTTTTTTTTTTAACAGGTAAAGAAGAACACAACATTTAAACTATATTTTCTCAAGCTTCTTGCATTATAATACTAACTTGTATAAACGTATAATCTGTTGCTGTTTTTGTGGGAAAAAACTCTGTATGTCTAACAAAGAGATTTTCAGTGGCATCTCTATTTTTTTTTAAACCTTTACTTAAAGATCTAAGTAGCCGCTGCTAATATTCAGTAAGTGCTGCTTTGTGTCTCTCATCCACCCACGTAGCTAGTCTGTACGCAGTGAAATGCGACCAAAAATCAGATGTCTCAAAGTGATGTTACATCGAGAGTACTGCACATAGAAACTAAAGGTGTTTCAAAATGAATCCTTGCAGAACTCCAAATGTTATAAAGCTGGGTCAGATGTGCATCAAATTATCCTTCAAAATTCCGCATGTCTTTTAGAAATGTAGGAGTGTTTAAAGTATCATCTTGAGATTTAATTAAGATTTAATCAAACACTTTACATAAATCTACAAAAATACCAAGCACATATTCATCATGACTCATTGCAGAGCCAATTTTCTCAACCAACTCTAACAAAGACATTCCTGTGGAATCACCTTTTCTAATGTCAGTGATTCACAGAAATTTTTTGGTTATCTATTCTAAACCAGCCTTCCCAGAAGCAGCAAATAACTGAGACGCATAAAAAGATTTACAATCTCCAGATTTGAATCATGCATTGCTTTTTGGTAGACTAGAAAACCGAACAGCTGTCTTCTAAATGGAAGATTTACAGCATTAAAAATAACTGTTATAAAGGATTCTTGGTCCTTTGTTTCTCCATTCGGTTCTGTTAAAGTGAAAATCTAATAATAAAAAAGAGAAGTTGGAAACACATTTGTTCAAACACAGATTAGCTAAAATATTAACAGGTTGAAATCATACGCAAATAATCCACAGGCAGTAATGTATTGTTGTGTCCCAAGTTATATTTAGAACAAGTCGTTATTTGAATTATGTAGGCGGCGCAGGAGGAATAGCTGCTGTGTGATCTTCCAGATACTCCAGAGCAGTGCTGTGAAAAATTATTTCCATCAAACTGATTATTTTCAGTTTTTCTTGTTGTTATCTTTATTTCGACTGAAATATTTCAGATCATCCAAAAATAACATCAAAGATATCTGGTCTAACTGCAAAGTTATCTTTATAAATGATGAAAAATTTGGAGGTGTTGTGTCTATTTGTAGGTGTATATTCTTTAAGCCATATTTGAGTGTTGATCGTTTTAATGTCACATGACAACAGAACTAAAATATCTAAAAAAAAGGAAAGAAAAAAAGATCTACAACAACTTCATAAACAAATTTATATTAACAGTTTGATTGAGTTAATCACAGAGTTTATATAGCCTACTTCTTCCATTGTTTTTTTTTTTGTAATTCAGAGGCGTGTTTTAGATAAACATTCTTCTGTGTAACACAAACTACAAACTAATAACCTTTAAGACTTCCTGTTGGAAAGCAGAATTGTTAAATCAGTTAGCCCAAGTCATTTTAATCCTGACACCTCAAATCGACCACAAACCATCACATTTTCAATACGTTCCTATTGTATTTGTGCTGGTTATATGCCAATTCAACTAGAAGATAATCATAAAAAAGCTATTTTAAGGAAAATTGTGATGGATCCTATTGTTTTTTTGGATCATCTGCACGCTCTTTTTCTGGAGGAAGGCTCAGCCTTCTGAATAAGAACCCTGCAGACCTTTTATTTCATTTTTTACATTTTTAACATGTCCTCTTTGGTGTGTGAACCAAACCGCACAGTGATTGACAAACAATGGACTGAATGATGCCAGTATGAAAGATAATTAGCTACAGTTAAATCAAATGCCAGGCGGATGGCAGCCCACTTCCCCGCAGCTCCCAGCAAAATCGCCTCCAACTTCCAGCAACTGATCTTCTCCTGGGTGTGCATGTTTTTTTTACTCTGACTCCACCCTTTCACTGAATTACAGGGTCTGACCAGGAGATGACGCTTCTCTTTAAATCTTTCCACAAATCATGATAGAAAGAATATTTTAGTACAAAGATCGAGGTTTAAAAAGGAATTGTAGGGGAGCAGCCAAGACTGAAAAAAACAATGCAATTAATTAATCATATTTAATCACTGTAACACAATTGTTTCATGTTAGCAGAGTAGGATATTAAACAATTTTGTTAAAGTAACTAAATATGATTAAGTAAATGCCAAACCCCAGCCGGCCTCATCAGATGGCCGCTCAAACTGAGCCTGGTTCTGCTGGAGGTTTCTTCCTGTTAAAAGGGAGTTTTTCCTCTCCACTGTCGCTACAAGCATGCTTAGTGTGAGGGATTGCATTTGAGTCAATGAGTCGATGTAATCAACTGGTTTTCCTTAGATAGAAAACTTTGAATCAATTTGACTGCATGATCTGGTTGAACTGTAAAGTGCCTTGAGATGACATGTGTTGTGAATAGGTGTTATAGAAATAAACTGAATTAAATTGAAATGCGGTAGCAATATTTATTTTTTTCAGTGAAGGGCCAATCAAGGAAAGTGGGGAATTTTTAATGCCTACTGCTGTAGTTCTCCAGCTTACTAGCAGATCATCCTCCTGTCTTAATATAGACACATAATGTCCTGAATCAGATCAATGAGATTGGTGTCTGCAAACTTCAGGGATTTGGAGAGAAGAGGCAGTGCAGGGGTGCAGAATTACTGGTACATTTTAAGGGGGGAGTGCAGAGAAAACTGCTGATCCACTAACAGGTGTATCTAATTCTTGTTCTCTCCTCTGTAGTGAAGACACAGCAAACAATTTCAACTTTATTGCCGAAACCTCAATATAACAAGCAGCATGTAGGTTAATTGGCCTTATTATACTGTAGTCATAATGGCAGCGCGCTGGAACTGTAAAGATTTACAACCCTGCATGTCATCACAGGCGTGGTTTGATTTACCGTCAGACTTAAAGGAAGTCTTCCGAATCCTCTCATGTGTCATACTCTGAGGACCAACCTGCCCAGAACAGGAAGACATTCCGAGGATAGTTTCTCTCTACCTGCCTGACAGGTTTAGGTCCATCAGTGGGTTTGGCTCCACTGTGGCACAGAGCGGCTCCGAGCGCGCAGCTGGCGCGCAGTTCTTAAACAGCTATGTGTGATTGTCTGCAGACTGTTTCCCAGCGGGTGGAGGATTTTTGGAGGAGTATCTTTAAGAAAAAGCCTGGAGATGATGAAGGAGACAGAGTAGATGAAGCTTCAACTAAGAGACCCTCTTCGACCCCTCCGCCGCCCCCAGAGAGGCAGTCAGACAGCTCGATCTACACCGGGATCTGGTCGTTTGAAGCCCGGCATAAGGACGAGCTGTCCTTCCAGGAGGGGGATCTGCTTGAAGTCATCAGCCGCAACGGAGACTGGTGGATGGCGCGGAGGGTCGGCGGTAACGGGCACGTCGGCATAGTGCCCCATAATTACTTGGCAAAGGCGGAATCTGTGGAGCTGCAGCCGTAAGTAGTTTTCAACATCATCCAGATTGTTACCAGGAAGTTTGGTGACCTCTCTACTTTTTATTTCCACACTTTGCTGCGGTCATACTAACCTCATTTCACCCTCAACTTCCCTTATAGAGAACAGCTCATAGTGACAGTGATCAACATGTTTACCTTCTTTGGTTCCCCTATAATATGGGTCCATCAGCTCAGCTTTGGTTTGGTTTACTGTCCTCCTTCCCTTTATCTTATCCCTTATATATATATATATATATATATATATATATGTGTGTGTGTGTGTATATATATTTTTATATATATATCTATATATGTTTGTGTATATGTATGTATGTATATATATATATATATATATATATATAT